TTTTAAAAATCTTGAGAGCCCTTTATACACCTTTATGCAAATAAATTTGAAAAACTATATGGAGTGGATAATTTCTTGGAAAAATACAGTTTATCAAATTGCATTAATGATAGAAAACTGTGTCAATTTCTATAGAAGAAATAGAGAAATTTATTAAGCAACTTGTCTCCCTCAAATAGGCAACAGCCCCAAATGGTTTTACAGGGAAATTCTATCAAGCTTTCAAAGATCAGAACATAAATTGTTCTAGAGCATGTAAAATAAAACTTCCAAATTCTTTTTGTGAAGCAGGTATATAATATTGATACTTCATCTGATAGGGACAATACAAAAAAGAAAATTATAAGCAATATCACATATCAGTATTGGTAGAAAAATACTAAATAAAATAGTGAACAGGATCCAACCCCATATTATTAAGATAATACATAATGATTAGGTGGAATTTATTTTATTCAACATGAGGAGAGAAATTATGATTTTTTCCTTTATAGATGCTGGGAAAAACAAGAAGAGGAAATTGATGGATATTTTATTAAAGTGGTAAAATAGCGTTCTCTCTCTCTCTAGCTTTGTCCTAAACTCAGCTTCTTACTTAATGTGCAAATACTAGAACTATTTCCTTTAAAATCAGGAACAAAGCACAGATATCCACTTTCTTCATTATTTGACATTGTACTGGTGGCATTAACCATTGCAATTAGAAAAGATAAATCAGTTAGAGACATAAAAAATTAGAAAAAGCAGAAGCTAAAGTAAATCTACTTACAGATGAGATAATAGTACTGCTGGTAGCCATAGGAAAGCAATGAAAAACCTAACAAACAATAAAGCAAGGTATAAAATTAACATACTGAACTCAACAGTGTCAATATACATAAGCAATAACCAATTACAGCCATAATGATAGAGAAAACTCCATTTACAATAGCAACAAAGAAGATAAAATAGGAATACATTTAACAAGAAATTTGCAAAGTTAATATGAAGGATATTTAAAAATAGCCCTGAAAGACAAAAAAGTAGGTTTGAACAAATGAAAAGCCATTTGTTTGTGGATAGGAACTGACACATAGATGTGTCTGTTCTTCCTATTTTATAATTTTCTCTAAGTAATTTATAAATTTAGCACAATCACAGTGAAAATACCATCAAGATTTTTTATGGAGCTAAGCAAATTGATACTAACATTTACATTAAAAAATAAACATACAAGAATAAAACAAGGTGAAGAGGCAGACTCACCAGTGAAATAGAATATAGAAAGTTCAGAAAGAGACCCAAATACATGCAAGAATCTAGTATATGGTAATAAAGGTGTCATCTCAAATGATTGGGCCAAAGATGTTCTCTTTAATAAATGTGCTGGAATGGCTATATAATCATTTAGAAAAAGGATAATGTTAGATCCATACTTCCTAAATACATAATAATAAATGCTAAATGGAATAGGGTATAAATATATATCGAAAAACCATACAAACGAACAAGGAAATACGGGTGAATTCCTCTATAAACTGTGTGTAGGGAAAGGCTTTCTAATGATACCAAAATCCAGATGCAATAAAAGATTAATACATTTGACTTTGAGGAGGTACTATTCCTAACATTAAAGAGCACTTAAAAATTAAGGGAAAAAACAATAAAAATATGTAGAAGACATGAACAGATAACGCATAAAAACATAAAAATGGCCCTTAAACATATGAAAAGACGTTAATCTTTACTCATGGTAACAGAAATGCAAATTAAAAACAAACGGTATACCATTTCTCACCTGTCAGATTGGCAGAAGTTAAAAAGTTGCTGACAGTGTGGGGAGACAGGTACTCTCGGCTATCATATGCAACTCTTATGAAAGAGAATTTGGCAACATCTAACAAACCTATGTAAGTTTTTTCTGTCTGGCTGAAAAGTTCGTGCTTAGGAATTAGAAATAAAGGTATACTATCGAAATACAAAATATGTGCACACAAGGTTATTCATTGTGGCATCATCTGTAATTGCAAAATATTGAAAATAACCTAAATACCTGTATAGAGGACAGTGGTTGAATAAACTGTGGCCCAGCCACACAGTGCAGAACTAAGCAATGCATGAAAAGAATGAAGATCTCTGTGAATTCATAAAAAGTGATTTCCAGGATATATTAAGTTAAAAAGAGCTAAGTAGAAAATAGTTTCTATAGTATGCCACCTTTTGTGTAAGAAAGAAGGGGAAATAAAAACTATGTATTTGCTTATTTTTATAAGAAGAAACAGGAAGAATAAACCAGAAACCATCGTGTGTGGGAACAGGGTGGAAGGGTTTCGTGGGAGTGACACTTCTGTGCATGTAATTTTTTGTATTATTTTGACTTTTGGAACCAGGTTAATGTTTTATATCATAAAAAAAGTAAATCAGTGAAGATGGGAGAAAAAATGTCCTAAAATTAAATGTAAACAGAAGGCAATGGACCCAACTGTTTTTCAAATGACTAATATAACAATGATGAGGGAGTAAAAAGAAAGTAACTCAGCAATTTTTGAGAGCAGTTTTTGACTGTAAGTCTTATATCAGTAGACAATAAGATCTGTAGCTATTCTGAAACTAATTTCTGTGTATTCCAGAATTGAGCAACTATATTGAGGATAATAGGATTCCGGCCTTTCATGGAGAAAGGAATTACAAATATGAAAAGAGGAAAAACTAGCATAAATCCTGTGGCGTTGGATGGGATTGGAGATACCAGTGTGAACTACTGGTTTTATTATTGCTCTCCCTGGTTCTCCGGGTGTACATATATTACGTATATCTATATGTTTATGTGTGTGTGTTTGTGCACCTCCTAGCTTGATCCACTGAAAAAGCCTAAAAGCATTGACACCCCAGTAACAATGAGCACTCCTAGCATCAAGGTCTTGGTTTCTAAATACAGTTCTTCCCTAAGAAGGACCAAGGCTCCTTGAAGAAGTGGCTGATTCTAGGGCTGAGAATATAGGGTAAATATCTTGTGTGCCAAAAAATGATGGGGATATGTCAAAACACAGAAGTGAGCTTCAAGGGGGTTCCCACTGGTCAAATCTGAGGCATTTTGAACATCAAAATAAATGATAGTAATGGATTATAGCCAATTTAATACAATAAAGATTTCATGAATCTAAACTTGTATGAACAAACATATAAATAAATAAAGGGGAAGGAGGAAAGCCTTTCCTTATAGCAGAGGATTGACTAATGAATGTAGAAGGAATGGTAGAGTTAGAAAAATCACCCTTTGGCAAATAATAACTGATTCTAGCAAGAATCACTTATGGATGCTTCAGTTAGTGGGTGAAAGTTTAATGAGGAACAGGATATTCACAGAGTCTCAAAGTATCCCCCTCCCAAATTACTTACTAGTTACAAAGGGGAAAATGACAACTTGCGGTAGAGACAGGCTCCACCTCAACTGAGTGACCTGGGCTGACATCACCCGTAATGGACCTACCTACATCAGGTGCCTCCTGATACAGTGCACGAGGATGGACACAATCTGGCTTCCTTGGTATTCCTGCCCCCAGGGGAAAACGTGAATCTCGTAATAAGGAATCATCAGATAAACCCAAATCCAGGGACATTTTATGAAACAATCATGCTCGTATGCTGCAGAAATGTGAAGCTCATGAATGACGAAGACAGAACCGTTCCAGGCTAAAGGAGACTACGGAGATAGGACAACTACATGCAATTCATGATCTTGGATTGGATCCTGGACTGAGCGAAAAGGTAGCTATCGGACATTTTTGGGGACAGTTGATGACATTTGAATGGTATTGTATCAATGCTGAATTTATTGCTTTTGATAACTGTACTGTAGTTATGTAAGAGACTGTGCTTGTTCCTGGGAAACACGCATTGCAATACTTAGGGGTCAAGGGGCATGATGTGCACAACACACTCTCAAGTGGTTCAGGAAAAAATAGGGAGAGAGAGAAAAATGATGAAACAAATGGGAGAAAATGTAAACAACTAGTGAATCTGGGTAAAAGGTAAATGGGGCTTCTTTTTATTAGTCTTGCAACTTTTCTGTACATTTGAAATTATTTCAAAAGCTATCCAGAAGGTGAAAACATTTTTTTTTTAGGTTAGTTAGATGTGACACTATATTTAAAAATGATAAGACATTGTTTGGAAGAGACACTCCCTAGTAAGGAAGAGGGGAAAAGAAGAGGGACATAGTCCTCTGATGTAACCAAGGACTTTAATTAGAGGCAGATCCTCTCACGGTGGCTTTTTCAGGGGCTGGTGTGACTCTTGTTGGTGGCACAAGGATGGCTCAGACATCTTCTCCTCCTCCAGGGGAGTTTCTGAATCAGTCTTCATGAGCCCTGTCCACTCTCCTCCCCACTCCTCTTCCTCCTCCTCCTCCTTCTCCACGTCCTCCATTCTCCTCCTCTGGGAGGCTCTTCTGCAGCCGTGTATATGCAGCGAATGACATGGGTGCTGTTTGCTAGAAGCCTCAGGGTCTCCCAATGAAGCACGTCTGGAAAGGCCAGCGCTCCTGGGAGTAGCGATCTAGGTTCCTCTTGTAAAAATTGCTTTGGGAAGCTCGTGTATACAGATCTGAAAGGAGAAAGGAAAAAATTATGCTGGGCGAAGGCCTTTGAATTAGGCTTGGATGAACCGTCCTGGTTGTTGGTATCCATCTCTGATCATTCCTGAGATTCTTGAATCCTGTGGGAGCCAAGGTGGACTCCAGCCTAGGACTTGGAAGTCCTTTGTGATAGGGAGGAGTTTCTTGCGATAGGTTTGGCCTTGTACTACACTGGAGGCTTCAATGATGGCAGAGTGTCTGGCAAAGCACAGATGGAAAGTAGAATCCTGGCTCTGACGCTAATGTCAGTTCCCAGTGCACTTGTGGAAAGTCCCTTCCCTTCTGTGGGCCTCAGCCCTGTGGGGGTGGCAAAGGCAGAGGGAGGGGTGGGCGAACTAGTGGGGCTTCTAGCTCCCTACCCTCAACTTAAGTAGAGCAGGTCCCCTTTGATATTTTACAGAAACTGGACTCTGGGTGAGATTTTGTTTGCAAGGAGGGTTTAACTCTTAAAGTGACTGGGCTGGATGATCCTTAGCTCTCTACAGCCTGTCCTTCTGTGATGGTTGTGAGCTATGTGAGACCACCTGGGCACAGAATCAGTGCCCAGCAACGTGGCTGCATTTCTTCTTCTTGGGCCGTGCCACTGTCCTGGGATTGGGCATCTGTCCTTGCACGGCCCAGAGCCATTTTGCCCCCAACTGAACTATGCTCAATCCACAAGCATTTCCTGGCATTGTTTAGTTGCCACGCGCCTGGCTGGATTGGAGGAAACAACAGGGAACAAAGCCGATGGGAGCCCTGCCCTCTTGGAACTTACTGTCTAGTGGCCAAAGTAGACATCACACAAACATACAAAAATTACACATACAAGATTATGCCACAAGGGCTTAGGAGGAAAGTGTGGATGTGTATCCTTTTCCCCCAGACCTGCTCCGCCTCATGCAACTCCTAGCTTGGAGAATCACGGAGTCGGGTCTTAGACTCCTGGGGTCTCTCCGGTGTGCTCTGGAACACGACTGCAGCTGCCAGATGGGAGTGAGCCCATCTCTCCTGTCATCCCACTCAGATAAGCGCGAATATCAATGGGGCCTTGTCGTGAGGACGAGGTCCCCTCCCCAGGGGTTCCTGGTCAGTGTTAGGACCTCAATTTGGGACTCACCCTTGAAATCACTGTTGGTCAAGGAAGCTGTCTCTTTTGGATGGATCAGGGGTTTTTCTGAAGGCAAGCGGGAGGTTCCTTTAGCATGCTTGGGGTTTTGTCCACCAGGCCCATTCTTCTGAAGCCGCATATCTGGCAAGGAGAATTCCACAGGGTCAGGTGGGGAGGCTCAGATGGGCAGCGCACATGGGCAAATGGTGGTTATTATGGGGTGGGAGTGTACCTGAATATACCTCTTCCTGTCCCTGAAGGCTTCCCCTCATAAGCAGATGTTGGATTCAAAATATGTATTCATTTTAAAACATGAACTTTTTTTTTCTATTTATAAATGTCATGCATACTCATGGTAGAAAAAATTAGGAAATATTGAATCATATGGAGTAGGAAAAAAATGCCCCCAAACACCCCTCCTTCCAGATATCGTCACAGTTCTAGCCTTCTAGCTCTGTGGCAGAGCTGAGATTTGAACTAGTATGTACAGCTCCAAAGGCAGGGATATTAACCACTGTCTTTATACTCTTTAGTCCAGGGCTTCTCAAACTATAGCGTACATTCAGATTTACCTGGAGATCATGTTGAAATGCTGGTTTTGATTCCATAGGTCTGGAGCAGGTCTGAAAATGCATTTCTAACAAGCTCCCAAGTGATGCTGATATTGCTAGTCCATGGACTTTAAACTCTCCTGTTTATTAGTTTGGGTACCTAGCCACCCAACCCCCACCTCATTTTAAGTTGGAATTAGCACGCAAAAGATGCAGGAAGTCTGGAGGTATCTAGCAGGGAAGAAATGAACAAACTGAGGTCTAGAGAGGCCAAGCAGTGTATTCTTATCTGGTACTTACCATGGGCTGATGGCTGATGCTCTTGGATTTGGTTGGGATCATTGCAGTTGCTGATGACACAGGACTCCTCACACTCTCTGCAGCATAAACAGAAGATCTTCCAGGCCACACTTTGGTTGGCTGCTGTGGGAGGCAAAGGAATGGTGGCCATGGGTGTTGGGGCCTGAATTCCAGATGTCTGTTGGAAATTGACTGTGGTATGGGGCACATTGGGTCAGTCTCTCCCGAGGCTTAACACTCCTCCCCTCTCCCAAATCTTCTGTAGCTCGCCATGGCCAGGAGGTCCAGGCCCTTCTGCCCAGGCTGCCCTAGGCTTCCAGGCTGCCATTTTTATTACTCTGTACAAAATTTCCTTACCCATGTAAAGGAGTTGAAGCCTCTACTCTGCCACCTTTGTCTGTAGGAATGCTTTCTTGTTGAATGAGCCGATCTTAAATTCGTGCCCAGTTCATTGGACAAGGCTGTTTCCTAAATAAATATAAGACTGCAGCTGAACAATGGTAGTCCTTTATCTGCATTCACACTCCAGACAGGATCCAACTATGGCGAAATCCCAGCTCATGCAGAAATGCACATCAACATGCTCAGGTTTTAGATAGATCTGTGTCCTACCCCATTTCTAGGTGCACGTTCTTGCATAGATTCCTTACCCTTTTTCAGCCTCAATTTGTCATGTGGAAAATGAGACTAGCAGTGCCTACTTTGCAGAAGTAAAGGGTTAAACACATGAAAAACGACCCCTATGGTGCTAGTTATACAATAAACGCTCAGTCAATGGTCATTCCGTTTTCCTCATTGGCTTCAGATTATCCCAGCTGCTCCAGGTCCCATGGGGAAGCACATAGTCTTACAGGTTTAAATCCTGGTTTTGTCACTAACATGCTGTGCAGCTTTGGATAAGTTCATGCTTGTTTCTGTGTCTCGTGCTCCTCATCAGTAATAAGAGGAAGTTAGACTAGATGTCTCTTCAAGAATCTTTCTATTTCTGATAGTCCAGAATGATAAGACCATGTTTTACTCCCAGTCTTCTTTCCAGATCTTTGGATACATTCTGTTCTCACTCCCCTTTCTGTGGCAGAACCCCTTTAGGAAATTCTTATCATGGTATTGGTTAGGTGTTCCTCACAACACACAATTCACTGTGTAAGTTGCCTTCTTCATAGGCACTTGCTTTTCACTTTCTCTACTGCTATACCCTGGCCAGAGCCACCATCATCTCCTGCCTGAATTATTGCCATAGCCTCTTACCTGGTCTCCCTGTTTCTTTTACCCTTGACCCCCTTAATAATTAATACAAAAGTTGGGGTAGTTCTGTTAAAATGTGTTTTGTTACCTTTCTGCTCAAAACTTCCAATGATAGGAAAAATTGAATATAATGAAGAAATATAGTATTGGAGTAAGAAGTGAAAACTCTGAAATAGAATCAAGTAGAAATTCTAATTCTATAAAAAGCAGTATCTCAAGGAAAAATATATTGGGTAGGATTAACAACAGACTAGACAAAGCAGAAGAAATGACCAGTGAACTTGAAAAAAGTTCAATAGAAATTATCCGAACTGAAGCAAGAGAGAGAAAAAAGACTTAAAAAGCATGAAGGGAGCAGGAGTGACCTGAAGGTTACTACCAAGCTGACTAACATACATTTATAGACATGTATATAGAACATATCTCAGAAGGAGAGGGTCGGCAAAAATATTTGAAGGAATAATGGTTGGAAGTTTTCCAAATTTGATGGGAAGCATCAATGTAAGCACTCAGTGAACACCAAACATAAAAAAAAAAAATAAAGGTACATTATCATAAAATAGCTAAAAACTAAAGAATAAGATCCTAAAAGCAACCAGAATAAATAAAGGCACCACACATTAGGAAAACTGGACAAGAACGACAGCTGACTTTGCATCAGAAACAATGCCAGCTAAAAGACAATGAAGAAAAAAGAAAGATAATGGAATAAAAAGCTCTGAAAGAAAAAAGAACTTGAAAACCCAGAACTTCATTTCATTGAAAATATCTTTCAATAATTAAGGCAATATTAAGACATTTTAAGATAAACAAAAATGAAGAGAATTTGTCTTTAGAAGACACAAGCTATAAAAAAAAAATGCTAAAAGACTGAAGGAAAATGATACCAGATGGAATTTGTATCTACAGAAAGGGATGAAGAGGATAAGAAATGGTAAATAGCTGGTGATAAGAGCAAAAGATTTTTTTTTCTCTTAGTTCTTCCTCCCCACAATCTGTCAGTGGCTTATCTTATTCCTACAATACAAAACATTGTATTGTAACCCAGAGTTCTTACCTGGGTCTTAGGGTGCTCTAATCATCATCCTTCTCTCCCTCCCACCCCTAACCACCACCACCAGCTCTCTGCCTTCAAGTTCTGCTACTCTCCCCAATTCCATTCGAGTCACAATGGCCTCTTTGCTAAATTTTAAAACACACCAAGCTCTCAACTCAGGAATTTGTGCTTGTTTTCCCCGCTGCCTGGAGTGCTGTTCTCTTAGATAACTACATTTTGTCATTACCTTCAAGTTTTTGCTTAAATGTTACCTTTTCTACCAAGAGTTTCTCTGCTGTATTTAAAATTGCACTTCCTTGCCCCACACTTCCTAACTCCCTTCTCCACTTACTTTTCTCTATCATTTTCTAACACTCTACATAATTCGCCTACCTACTATATTTGTGGTTCTGCTTCTCCCCATTAAATTATAAATGACTAGATTATAGGTCATGGATTTCATCTGTTTGGTTTATTGCTCTATTTTCAGTGTCTCGAGTCACTGAGTACCTACCATGGTGTGGGCAGTCAATAAATGTTTGTTGAGTAAATGATCAAACTAGCATTTATTCCCCGTTTGTCTTGGGTGAAAACATTTGCAGGCACTGGGTGCGATAAAGAATCGGGTGGTAATTTTTGTGCCAAGAACATCACAACCCATGGGACGCAGCTTACCTCACTTATATGCTAAGCTGCCTCTGATGGTTTCATGAGTCAGTTTTCATTCTGCTCTCTGTTTACTGGTTGGGGTTATTTTTCTTCCCTATCCACTGCAAACCAAATCTATTTGCCTTCTTCCCATGTTCCCTATTTGGCAGAATGATCTTATTATTCACTTGGTCTCCACAGCCGGAAACCTGCCAGGCTCCTACCATCCTCCCACATTCATCAGTCTTTAGGCTTTACTTACCAAGTGTCTCTTCAATCTGTCTGCTCACTCCCTGGCCATTTCCCTCACCAAGGCGCAAGCCACCATCACCTCTCACCTGGGCCACTGCTAAAACTTTCTCATTGGCTTGTTTGCTTCCACTACGCCAATTAGATCTTTTGTTTTAGAGATGTTCCGTTTAGCAAAGATACAGTTATCTGGTTCTATGTAAATCCCATAATATCTCTCCTCTGCTTCAAACCCTTTAGGAGCTCCCCAAGTCCATGGATCGAACTCCTTTTGTGATCACCACTGTTAATGTCTTCAGCCTCATCGTCCCTTGGTTGCACTCACTACTGTACAGCCATAAGAGATGCTGTTTAGGCAGTTCCCCCAGTCACCATTTGACTAAATGGAGCCTGTTCACGTACTGTTCCCTCCTCCTGGGATGTTCTCACCTCGATCCTTCGCTCATCAAACTTCAATACTCAGCCAAGTGGTTACAGAAAGCCATCTCTCAGTTGTGGGCTGAGTTAGGGGTCCCTCCTTTGTGATCTCACAATACTCACCTCCTACCATGTTTTCCTGTATCACAGCCTGTTATGGTACAGTGACTATTTACCTAACTTGTGGTAAATCCTCAAAAAATACTTGCTGAAAACATTGTATTGTAACTGCCTATTTAGTTATCAACATTCTGGATACTAGTCCTTGAGCTTTCTTTCATTTATTTAACATATATTTATTGAGCACCTACTATGTGCCAGGTACTGTTAGATGCTGGAGATACAGCCGTGAACAAGATTCCAGATAAATGCCCCACCCACATGGAGGAGGGTGCAGTGTTTTATGCACTGTTGTATCCCCAGCACTCAAACCAGGCATGGGCACACAATAGGTACTTTATAATAAATATTTACTCTGACTGTTGGATAAAAACTGTATGTCCAATAGATCTTTCTCCCTTCCCCTAACTGATCTTTTATTTCCTGCACATAACCTGTTCCTTGTGGTTAGATACATTCCAGTGGGCTAGACGCATGCAGATGTCCCCATTGTGTGGGATCCTTGGACTAAGCGAGGGGCACTCACTGGGTCCCTTTAACCCCAATCTCTAGTAGTCTTTTGGATCTGCTGCCAGGTGGGTTTTTCGACATGATTTGAGCTCTAATATATTTCATCAAGCTCTCTTTAATGGATTTATTTTATTTTTCTAGGATTTATCACAAATAAACATTTATATAAGGCAGTTAGATGTTTTGTTTTGGAGATGCTCCATTTAGCAAAGATGCCTGCCATTAATCTGCTTATTCCTCTACTATTTGCTTTAGTTTCAATTTTCTTCATCCATTTATACAAACACTTGCCTTACGCGGTTTTGCTTTGCTCCAGACTGCCTTGCGTCTGCTGAATATAGAAGGAAGGGCTTCCTAAGGACGGAATGGGGAGCATGGGTCTGGCAGTGCACCACCAGACAAGCCCAAGAACTAGTGGCCAGAGTTCTGTTAGACTGGTGACTGATTCGCCTAAAGGAAATTGCTAAAACTTGGACTGGGGTCCCCTGAAACCTTCATGAGCATGTGGTCTGTCTTATTAAATCACAAAAGGAGGTCACTTTACTTATCCTATATTCTGGAGGCAGCAATGTCCTGGTCATTGATCATATGGCCTCTCTTAGGCCCTGCTTGGCCAAGGGATTCAAGACACCACACATCAGTCCGAACTTTTAGCCACCGTAGTGTACTCTTGCCTGTTTGTCATGGTCTCACCTATATTAAAGTTCCTGCCTCTTTCTGGAAAAACTCCTGCTTCATATATATATTCCCACTATATGTGCTCTCATGTACTTATCTTAATAAATGGCCAAATTTCACTAGATGATTTAGGATTAGCTAGATGATTTAGGATTACCATGGGCATTATGAAAAACTTTTTATGTCAAAAATAAGAGATTTAAGAGGAACTCTAGAGAAGAGAGACGACAAAAATGCCAAACGTTCAATAGAGGGCTTCTTTGATTGGCATGCTCTGGCTTCAGAAAGAAAGAAAAATAAAAAAGAAAG